CAAAGCGTACTTTAGCATCTTGGCGTCCGTACCGAGCTTTATCTAATTCTAAACGTTTATAAGCGGTTTTCGCTTCTAAAAAAATTATTTTTAATGACTCCTGCCGGTAAGATTTTACTTCCGTCCGGATTGCTGGGATTAAACCCTCGATAAAACTGCCTTTTGTTAACTCATTAATCCCTGGAATATCCGAGACGTCTTCAACGGCGTCAAGAATCGCGGCTTTCAAATCCTTAATTCTGCTAATGTAATCTATATAATGTGCTCTGAACTGCCCATAAAGATATTTGCCATCTGGTCGCGGTAATGGTCGATCGATTTACGCGCACCGAAGGTATCTTTTAATTCGTCACAGAGGTCATGTACGGAATTGTAGTATTCGTCTTCAACGGTGGTTAACGCACGGCCGCGGAGTCGTGTAATGATTAGTTGTACGAAAGATCTTTCCTGTCGCGCAGGAATCATGTCCCGCGCTCGGACACACGCGCGAGTAAATTGCAGGATCGTAATGTTAGTCCCGTCAAAATATGGAATCGATTCGAGAGCAGTTTTGATCGAGAGCGACGGGCTTTCGGGGTCGCGGTCGCTATTCTGCGGTAACCGGGGAATTGTTGAATCGTCCCCATGTGAAATTTGGTTTATTCTAGACCGTTCAAGTTGATCCCGCAACGCGGCTAGTTCTTCGCGGATGATTTGTGCGTCCTGAGGTTTTACGGATTCTCTTTCTAACTCTAGCCGTCTTCTGAGCGACTCGACCTCATCCCGGAGGTCGATTGCGTTGGTGCGGTATTTATCCTCTATTTCCCTTTCTAATCTCTCTTTCTCTATTAGTACCTGTTCTTGGAGTTTATCTACTTCAAAACGTCGACGATTTATTTCTTCGCGCTCGGCCTCTAGAGCCCTGCGTTCCGCGCGTAACTTACGCTCCATTTCGTGCATGGACTTTTGCAACATCGCGGTTTCCGAATCGATTGTAGCTGTTGGAACGGCGTCTTTCTTACACGCGGCCATGTTTCCAAATTTCAAACGCGAGCTTGACATTCAATCCCATCGCTGCCACCAAATTTGTCACGTCCCACGCGAGGAAGAGCACAATATGTGTATATTCCTTATCGACCCCGCGATTAGAAGGACTAGACTTTGCCAAATTTGATCCACGCGTTGCCTGCGTCCGCGTCTGATCGGGTACTCGCGTACAATTTGAGAAAGGCGTGCAATATATCAAAGAAGGACTCACCGTTCGGAGAGAAATGGCTTAATTGATAACGAGTGTTCGAAGCAGTGGTTGCCGTTGGTCGACAGGTCGATGTGTGGTTGCCGTTGCGAATAGACGGCGTGATCAGCAGGAACGGAATACAGCGTTGATTGGCAGGAACTGGCTGCTCGATTGCGTGGGTTGGTAGGAACTGGCTGCTCGGTTGCTTGGATCTGGTACTGCAGGTTGCTCGTGCACTTGTTCACTGACTGATGGTCTTGCCATTTCTTAATTCTTCTATTGCCTCCGTTTGCATCTCGAAATATTCTTCGATGCATTCCGGATATTCGCCAGCGTTCGATGTTTCGAATATTCAAGAATTGCAGCCTTCACAACGGTAACCTGCCTCACTGATATGGCTTGTTGTTATTGTATGCCAGCACTTTTCAGGGAATAACTCCGTCTCTTGCTGCTAGTCGGGATCAACATTTCTCGCATAGTTTGTGTCCCTCAGCTTTGAACACGATTTGGATTCTCTTTATGCATTGGCATCTCAGGAGATCCTCATACACCTCCGGATAATCAGCAGGATTTACCCTGATCAGAGGTCCGTAAAACTTATCGCATTCATCTTCCTGGCTACGGAAAAGATTGTGAGGTACCGGCATTCTATCCTGAATGTGATTGCGACTTTTAATTTGAGCTGGATGAACCATCAGAGATGTAGGTGTGTTTTAATTTATCCTGGTGTTTCGTAATAAGGTGTCCAGTCGCATCCGTTTTTAAAACTACGTTGTTTAAATCTAATACATCGACTATTTCGTATGGCCCGATGTAACGTGAATCGAATTTACTCGCTCCTGGTTCTTTTAATACGTCAACGTATTACCATGAATGGTAGGGCAATACGTACTTTGGGTTGTTTCGGGTTTGTTCGCTTATCGTAATATCGAGATTTTGCGCAGTTTAAGTTGTTAGCAGCTAGATTATAAATCTTAGTCATCTGAATGATGAGGTTAGCCAGATAAGACCCATAAGTCGGCATATTTTCTCCTGAAGGGAACGCACTTGGCAGTCTTGCGGTTTTTCCGAAGATTAGTTTGTGGGGTTTGAAATTTATGGCTTCGTGGACGGAGGTGTTGTATGAAATCATGGTAGATAGAGATCCCATTCTTCATATGACTCGATGTAATGTTTAACCGTTTGACTGCTAAGCGATTCTGGCGAGAACGTTCGAAAACTGCGGGACATATTTTGACTTGATGTTGTCAAATAAAACACTCTCATTTAGACAAATATCTGTTATAATGAATCGAGGCTCGTGGTAGCCGTTTTGATAATTATTTAATAAGATATGATGAATACAATTAGGTTGTCTCTCCGTGGACATTTCTAGTTACTTAATCTAGCAGGAGTACGCTCCCACGACCACGACTGCTCTTACACTGTCTTTGTGTAGTGCTCCGACGGAAGCAGGAGGAGCCCTACTTCACGGTGCATACATGTTATATGGCGCGTGATTCAAAACATGATTGTGGGTGATATTGTAATATCCATTATTTACAACAATATCAATCAATTTTAATAATTCTTTTCGTATTATAAAGAAACAATATTAATTGTGAATGTGAATAAGAAAAAATAAACATTAAATTGTTTTTTTCTTTGAAAATTAAAATTTATAAAAAGATAACTTAAAGTTTATTGATCTTCTCTTATAATCAGCACGTAAAGGATCATTTTGAAGATCACTGACTCTTACATGAAAAATTTATGTATAACAACTATGTTTTGCCGCACAAATAGCGTGAAGGCCTTTTTTACAACAAGCGCAAATAAGGCGGGATCGCTTGATCCCGCTCCTTCTGTTGCTACACACCGTACATTGTCGTAAGTTACGTCCCGGTAATTTTCCAAGCGCAAAGTTTTTGGTTGATGAAGATGGTTGTGTTGACACGCTATTTTTATGATTCATCCACTCCTTTTCGATATCGTCAATAATTTTCGATGTATTAGGTTGGTGCGTATGAAATGTCGGATTCTTAAGTGATTGTATAAAACTGCATATCTTTCTTCAAAAGCTGTTTATTCAATCAAAGTATGCTCCATTCGCTTCAATACACTTCTCCCAACGAGATTTTAAAGCGTAGATGCCTGTCTTAAAAAAATTTTGGTCTTTAGAATTAATAAACTCTGATATCGAGTTTTTTAGACTGTCTTCATTTTCATAGTGTTTGCCCCTTAAAAACAGCTCTAAATGCTTGAAAAAATGAAAATCGGTCGGCGAGAGATCCGGTGAATATGGTGGATGCTGCAAAACTTCATATTCCAGTTCGTTCAGTTTCGCAATTGTTTTGTGCGATGTATGCGGCCGAGCGTTGTCATGGAGCAGTAGCGGGCCATGCCGATTCACAAGCGATGGGCGTACAATTTTTAACTTATCGTGCATCTCATCAATGTACTGGCAGTACTTTTCGGCCGTAATTGTCTCCCCAGGTCGAAGGAACGAATAATGGATTACCCCAGCCGCGTTCCACCAAACTGTGAACAAAATCTTCCGTGGATGAAGCGATAGCCTTGGAGTATGGGCACAAACCTCATCCTTGTCAAGCCACCGAGCACACCTCTTTCTATTGTCATAAAGAACCCATTTTTCGTCACACGTAATGATCCGATCGAAAAATGGCTCTCGGTGAAATCGGGTTAGCAATGATGANAGCTAGATTATAAATCTTAGTCATCTGAATGATGAGGTTAGCCAGATAAGACCCATAAGTCGGCATATTTTCTCCTGAAGGGAACGCACTTGGCAGTCTTGCGGTTTTTCCGAAGATTAGTTTGTGGGGTTTGAAATTTATGGCTTCGTGGACGGAGGTGTTGTATGAAATCATGGTAGATAGAGATCCCATTCTTCATATGACTCGATGTAATGTTTAACCGTTTGACTGCTAAGCGATTCTGGCGAGAACGTTCGAAAACTGCGGGACATATTTTGACTTGATGTTGTCAAATAAAACACTCTCATTTAGACAAATATCTGTTATAATGAATCGAGGCTCGTGGTAGCCGTTTTGATAATTATTTAATAAGATATGATGAATACAATTAGGTTGTCTCTCCGTGGACATTTCTAGTTACTTAATCTAGCAGGAGTACGCTCCCACGACCACGACTGCTCTTACACTGTCTTTGTGTAGTGCTCCGACGGAAGCAGGAGGAGCCCTACTTCACGGTGCATACATGTTATATGGCGCGTGATTCAAAACATGATTGTGGGTGATATTGTAATATCCATTATTTACAACAATATCAATCAATTTTAATAATTCTTTTCGTATTATAAAGAAACAATATTAATTGTGAATGTGAATAAGAAAAAATAAACATTAAATTGTTTTTTTCTTTGAAAATTAAAATTTATAAAAAGATAACTTAAAGTTTATTGATCTTCTCTTATAATCAGCACGTAAAGGATCATTTTGAAGATCACTGACTCTTACATGAAAAATTTATGTATAACAACTATGTTTTGCCGCACAAATAGCGTGAAGGCCTTTTTTACAACAAGCGCAAATAAGGCAGGATCGCTTGATCCCGCTCCTTCTGTTGCTACACACCGTACATTGTCGTAAGTTACGTCCCGGTAATTTTCCAAGCGCAAAGTTTTTGGTTGATGAAGATGGTTGTGTTGACACGCTATTTTTATGATTCATCCACTCCTTTTCGATATCGTCAATAATTTTCGATGTATTAGGTTGGTGCGTATGAAATGTCGGATTCTTAAGTGATTGTATAAAACTGCATATCTTTCTTCAAAAGCTGTTTATTCAATCAAAGTATGCTCCATTCGCTTCAATACACTTCTCCCAACGAGATTTTAAAGCGTAGATGCCTGTCTTAAAAAAATTTTGGTCTTTAGAATTAATAAACTCTGATATCGAGTTTTTTAGACTGTCTTCATTTTCATAGTGTTTGCCCCTTAAAAACAGCTCTAAATGCTTGAAAAAATGAAAATCGGTCGGCGAGAGATCCGGTGAATATGGTGGATGCTGCAAAACTTCATATTCCAGTTCGTTCAGTTTCGCAATTGTTTTGTGCGATGTATGCGGCCGAGCGTTGTCATGGAGCAGTAGCGGGCCATGCCGATTCACAAGCGATGGGCGTACAATTTTTAACTTATCGTGCATCTCATCAATGTACTGGCAGTACTTTTCGGCCGTAATTGTCTCCCCAGGTCGAAGGAACGAATAATGGATTACCCCAGCCGCGTTCCACCAAACTGTGAACAAAATCTTCCGTGGATGAAGCGATAGCCTTGGAGTATGGGCACAAACCTCATCCTTGTCAAGCCACCGAGCACACCTCTTTCTATTGTCATAAAGAACCCATTTTTCGTCACACGTAATGATCCGATCGAAAAATGGCTCTCGGTGAAATCGGGTTAGCAATGATGAGCATACGTTTAACCGATCCAGCTTATTTCGCTCTGTCAGTGCGTGTGGTACCCACTTGTCCATCTTCTTAACCTTGCCAATCTCAGAAAGGTGTCTCAATATCGTTGTATGGTCAACTTTCATCCTGATAGCAAGTTCCCTCGTGGATAGGGCTGGATCCGCTTCCACTAGAGCCTTCAGGTCATCATTCTTCACAGACGTTTTGGGTCTTCCGCGCGGCTCATTTTGCAGTGAAAAATCGCCAGTCCGAAATTTTTCGAACCAACGCTGCACTTTCCGATCGTTAACCGTATTCTCCCCAAACGCTTGGTTTATGTTGCGTGCAGCTTTTGCAGCACTATTACCAAGTTTGTACTCATATAAGAAAATGACGCGAATGTCGGCAGAATTCATATCGGCAATAAACTTAAAAGAAATAACAAAAGGGAAGACCTTCGAGAAAACCTATTTTGCTGAAATGAGTCTCTGGCAATGGACAATACGACTATGAATGAGGTTATGTCAAAGACAAAAGTATAACGAAAACAGGGAGACAAACGTCCGCATGTAAAGAGAATCCGACATTTCATACGCACCAACCTAATAAATTTCAGCCGGTTCATTTTTTTCCGGTAGTGTTGGAAACATACAAAATATAAGAGTTCAGCACCATTCTTCCAAATATGTTGAATGCTACTTTTTTCCAATATTTTAGGAAATCCCGGATTTACGACACGTTATGGTTGGTGAGATAGCCGAAAATTAGTTTTAGAGGCCAAATGGTCGCCAGACGTAAAAAAGGTCTTAATCCTATTGTCGCATCCGTGTCATAAACCTGATCGACGAAAACTCGACGGAATTTGTTCTTCCGTGCCGGAGCAAAACGTGCGGCGCAGATGTGCTGTGGAGTGTCTAATTATCTTGTTTTATGGGTTGAAAAATGCGGATGGTTGTACTGGCATAAAACATTCTATGACATCGGAACATGTATTTTGTTTCAAAAGGGTTTTGGCCAAGCGTAAGCTTGTGTAAAAATTACCTGTAAACAGATGATAGCCTTTGTGCAGATAATTTCCAATTGAAAGCAATTTTTGCGCAACCGTAAATCCAAGACCATATTTTTTGTACTAAATCTTCGATATCTGTATTTTTAGCTCCTTTGTAGCAAAAAAACCCCAAGCAATATTTAGAAATCGAGTCGCACTACATCCAAAATTTGATCCCCCATTTATGGTGTTTTTTGTTTGGGATGTATTGTTTTATGACAGAATGACAGTGAGTACCAACTAACGACTCGTCGATAGATAATTGTTGATTTGGTATATAATGCCGCTGAAATACAGTATTTGCATGTTTGACAAGCATATCAAACCTGCCACATGGGTCATAATTCGGATGGCCTGGTGCAAATAATAACGTATTGTCAGTCAAGTGAAAAAACTTCAAAATCAGTTGAAACCTATCCCTTGAAAACATTGTCCTAAACCATGGTATATGTCGGGAACCTTTTATCCAATAACTATCAATTGTTAGCCTCCTCGTAATTCCCATTTCGAGTAAGACTGCAATAAAGGCTTTTATTTCGTATATTGTTGTCGGCGTCCACCTTTTTACTCGAGAATTATTCGAAACAGTGTGCGAGGCAAAAAACTGGATAGCATATCGATTTGTTTCCCTTACGATGGTTTCAAGCAGTGATGTGATAAAAAATAAATTGAAATATGTTATGGGTGTAGCATCGGGAGGAGGCGCACATCTAGGTCCAGTAGTCTCGAAAAAATTATTTGTTGTTTTCGAAAACACATTTGTCAGAGAAACATTCGTAAAAGTTGGTGTTTCTTCTGTTTCTGAAGATGAAGATGAGATAGAAGACTCACTTTCAATCCTCAGTCTTTTTCTTCGATGATTCATAATAATGCCATCATCACTACTGGTGTCTGTTCTTTCACCATCCTCAGAATCACTAGCAGTCGAATCAACGTCCGAAATAAGAGCCCGTGACATGGTTATTTTTTAAAAATAATATATAAAAACGGTAAAAAGTTATTTTAGAATGCACTCGTGTTACAAAGTACGCGTGAGGTCAGACTACGTTCACACCCACGGAGCAACAAAGATACACTGAAACTCGCAGCGCAAAAGCGCTGCGTCGCGGTTTTCGAGACAAAAGAACGCAGCGCTTTTGCGCCGTGTAGCAGTCAAACGGTTAAAATGTTCTGTTAATACTGTTACGAATTACTACACTTCTCCCGCGTCGCGGCATTTTATTTACAATAGAGAACACGAACTATAATACAACTAAATTATGTTAGAGATCTTTGAATTAGATGGTGTTGATCGCTCGACGGTCCGATCCCGACTCCTCGATTGTCCGTTGATAAAACACCTCCGTGGCAACCCCTCTCTTCTATTTTTCTTTAAGGAGTTGCTCACAACAGGGCAGTTTCACATTACAGCGACTTGATCTGTACAAGTCGCCGTAACAATACTGTTGGGAATCACTCAGTTTCTCTCGCGTCGCGGCATTTCATTTATAATAACGACGGTCCGATCTTGACACTCCGATTTTCCGTTGGTAACCTTCTTCCGTGGCAACCCCTATCTTCTATTACTTTTTAAGGAGTTGTTCACAACAGGTGTTACTCGCCGTAACGATACTATTGTATGTGGCTCCTTTCTAACGATCCATTTGTTTGTGGCCTGTAGACGTATGTGGTCTGGTGTTGTGCTGTTGGAACACAACATCTCTTCTGTTGACCAATTCTGGCTGTTTCTGGTCAATCGCTAGCTTCAAACGATCCAGTTGTTGACAGTAGAGATCCGAATTTAGTGTTTGGCCATATGGAAGCAACTCATAATAAATGATTCCTTGCCAGTCCCACCAAATACACAGTAGAACCTTCCTGGCCGTTAGTTCTGGTTTGGCCACCGTTTCAGCTGCTTCATCGCGCTTTGATCATGATCATTTTCGCACAATGTTGTCTTATATGATCAATTTCTCACCTCTAGTCACCATCCGTTTAAGAAATGAGTCGATTTCATTCCGTTTGGCCAAGGCTTCGCAGATGGAAATTTGATCCATCATGTTTTTTGGTGTTAATTGGTGTGGCACTCAAACATCGAGCTTCTTTTTGAATTCAGCTTTGCGCAAATGGTTTAAAACTGTTTTATGGTCGATCTTTAGCTCCTGGGTGATGCTACGACTGCTAACATGCCGGTCAACTTCGATTATTTCTGTGATTTTATCGACATTTTCGATGACGGGCCTGCCTGTGCGAGGTGCATCTTTAACATCAAAAATGCCCGAACGGAATCGACGAAACCAAAATTGCACGTAGAATGTTCGTAGAATCTTCGTCAATGTGCAGAATGGTCGTTCCCATTGTTTGGATGGAAGAGGTATTTAGACCCGTTATGTTGACCCTTTCCCTGGAAATGATTTTTGCCTTGCTTCCAAGTGAATCGTAATTTATTAACCCTTTGCGGTCGGCGACTTTTTCGGCCGAGCGAGGTGCCAGGTCGGAGCGAATTTCGCGAAGGTGTCGGACGCCTTACAGGTAGAAATAAAATGATCTTATACATAAATTATCTTATAAAAACGTTATATTTTAAGAGCTTATATATATTTACACCTTAAAAATGTAATTTCTCAAACTTAATTTCTGTATTTTTCTTTTGTATGATATTTGGAAAAACATTGACCAAGATGCATTCTTGGTTTTCCTGGACATGTGTCACAATAGTATGTGGTCTCGTGTCTTCCACCTGGTTTGTTTCTGATGGAACAAACTTTACAGTCACTCTTTATCACACAAAGCATTACGTGAAGTTTCCCATTGAGCCGAATCTCATCCGAGTGGGAGGTCGATGTGGAAGGTCATCGCTACTGGCAAAAATCTCCTTTCAACTGCTTCACTAAGATTTTCCGGAATTGTAGGTGGTTAAGTGACCGCTCGTTTCTCTGCTTTTTTACTAATTTGTAGAGAATATAGGAATTGATTAAAGAAACTTCTACTCCCCAAAAAAATTATTTGCGCCACCACTTCAATGATTTCCGCATAAAGCAGTAGGTCGAGGCATACTGATCCGCCAGGTCGACGCCGCCCATGAATTTTATATAATTTACGACAACATCGGGCTTTCTAACAACAATTCGAACACCATGGTGGAGTGTTCGTTCTACGTTATTCGTCGTCGCATTATAAAAATTTGTGAATAACGTAACAATTCGCTTATCTTTCCACGCTACAACAATATTATCAAGTTTGCGGTAAGCTACCATCGATTTTTCTCCTGAAGGTTGTCTTCTTCTAATTGCATCTGGCAAATGTTTTCTATTCGGCATGATTGTCCCAGTCAAATGACACTTCAATTTCCGTAATTCGATCGCCAAGATGTAGTTGGTGTAATATCTGTCAGTAAACATGTGATGTCCCTGCGCACCAGGAACTCTATTCAACAACATTGTATATAAATGCAACGGAATTCTTGTTGATACTGGAAGGTCCGGTCTGAGTAATGTTTGTGTTGTAAGGCTACCATAGTACGGTAGAATTCCGCAAATATATCCCGTACCAGAATCTGCCAATGTATATATTCGGATGCCCCATTTAGTCGGTTTTTTTTGGGTTGTATGTAATAAATGAAACCCGTCCTTTGAATTTGACGACAGATTCATCTGTGTGAAATGGTTCAAAAGTCTGGAGTTCAGCTACCTGCCGCTGAATCTGTCTCTGCATGTAGCATCCAAAAAATTTGGGTAAACCGCTCTCTCGAGAATGTATTAGGGAAAAATGGAATATGACTTGTAGGGTCTTTTGCCCAATATTCCTTTAGATTGGCGGCTGTTATTGTCCCCATTGAGGAGGCGGGATCGGCGACGGGAAGAGAGAATTGAACCCGGTTACAATTAGACTATCTTTATTTACAATTGGCGTCGGAATCAAACTCGCGATGCTCGCGTACCGTTCCCGACGAGGGTTCTTACTGAACTAACCATTCGCTCACCGATGCATCCCATCCTGATCATTCTTTCTCATTCTCACGGTTCGCTTTCACTCTGTCCTGGCTAGACGCATTCATTCTACGCGACACTCAAACCAATCGTCTAGACATTCGCTCGACGCTAACGCACAGCATGCAGCCCGGTCCATTCGTCCAAACATTCTTACGCCTTAAAACTAAACACATGGCGGAGACGTGGCGCCGGCTTGTCGCCGCCACACCATATTTATTATTACTGCGATAAACGCCAAAAATTCTGCATTCGTGACATTATACCACGTGTGCCAAATTGATCGTGAGGCCAGCGGTACGTGCGCTGCTGTCTCGGCTACCTGAATGTGGGGGCCTGTTGTGTCCGCGATCGCGTCGGCCAGATCGGCCACCTTGTCCAGTTCCGCGTCCTTCTGGTTGGCCAAAATGACCTGCATATTTGTGGGTAATCTTCCCATCCAGAGTGTGCGCAGAACGCTATCGGAGAATGCGGTTCCCGCTAGTCTTTTCAGACGCCGCAGAAACTGCGACGGTTTTCGATCGCCGATCTCTTCTGACTGGAGTAAACGTCGGGTCTTCTGCTCC